CCTGCAATCCCCAAAGGCTGCCCAGGTGCCAGCCCTGGCCGTGCTGCTCACTGTAGGTCTACGAGGACTATGACTGCATCCTAAACCAGACCAACATTGGTGCCAACAACAACAAGTTCTACATCATCCAACTCCTTGAGCATGATGGTGCCTACAGCGTATGGAGCCGCTGGGGCCGCGTGGTGAGTCCACCCCAGCACCACTCGTCCTCCCCACCACGGCCATCCCCACCCTGCCGCGGGAACCCCGAGGGTTGGGGTTGAGCCCAGTGCTCCCCGTCCCTTGCTGGCGGTCCTGACCACCACCGTCCGCTGCCAGGGGGAGGTGGGCCAGTCCAAGCTCATGCCCTCCACCTCCCTGGAGACTGCCAAGAAGGACTTTGAGAAGAAGTTTCGGGAGAAGACTAAGAACAGCTGGGCAGCAAGGGAGAACTTCGTTGCCCAGCCAGGGAAGTACACGCTCATCGAGGTGCAGCCAGGAGCCGGGCAGGAGGTGGAGGTCGCCCTCAGGGTGAGTGTGCTGGACAGCTGAGGTGTCACTGTGGTGGGGTGATCCAAATATCCCATCTTCTGCCTGGTGGCCAAGCTCTCTCTACTGAGACTGGCAGCCCTGATGCCATGTCCCCAGAGCCTCCTGCAGGCTCACAGGTGGTGTGGTGATGGTGGGGGTCTGCAGGTGAATGGTGTGGATGGGGACAAGGTCTGCAAGCAACGGGTGCTGCCCTGCACCTTGGACAAAGCCACACAGGACCTGGTGTCCCTCATCTTCAGCAGCGACATGTTCCGGGATGCCATGCAGACCATGAACATCGGTAGGAGGTGATGGGTGGCACAACGTGGGTCTGGGGGCTGCAGCTGGGGGTGCAGGTGGAGAGGGGAGTGCAGCAGAGGTGTGAGTGGATTTTAGAGCATCCTCGCTGATTGCCTGGTACCTGGTGGGACTGCAGACCCTCCATGCTGGGTGTCCACACGTGCCTGTGGTGAATGCCAGAGGTCCTTGGAAGGAGCTGTGGGGCAAGTGGGGCAGATGGGCTCACCCACGCCCTCCCCTGTGCCCCCGGCCAGATGTGAAGAAGATGCCACTGGGGAAGCTGAGCAAGCAGCAGATTGCGAGGGGCTTTGAGGCACTGGAGGAGCTGGAAGCTGCGCTGCAGGAGTGGCCCCCTCAGGCCACCTGCCTGGAGGACCTCTCCTCTCGCTTCTACACCATCATCCCCCATAACTTTGGGAGGTCACGGCCACCCCCCATCAACTCCCCTGACCTGCTGCGTGCCAAGAAGGACATGCTGCTGGTGAGACGCCAGGGCAGCCAGTGGGTGGCATCCCTCCCCGAGGGGGTCTCCCGCCCGTGGGGCAGGGAAGTGCTGGCAGGAGGCAGGGCTTGCGCTGGTGCCCCCAGCATGGTGCCCAGCTGCAGCGGATACGATGTCCCCGCTCTGCGCCTGCCAGGTGCTGGCCGACATCGAGGTGGCGCAGAGCCTGCAGGCGCAGAACGTGAAGGAGGAGGAGGAGGAGGAGGAAGTTGCCCATCCGTTGGATCAGGATTACGCCCTGCTCTGCTGCCAGCTCTCCCTGCTGGACCCGACTTCCCGGGAGTACCAGGTACCGCTTGTGCCACAGTACCCCATGATGGGGAGCAATCACGCCAGGCTTGCAGGTGACCCAGATGTCCACACTGTCCCATGGAAACCGTGGGCATTGCTGGGGTGGCTGCATGCAGCAACACCACTTTCCTGTCTCCCTCCTGGCCAGCTGATCCAAAACTATGTGATGCAGACCGGGTGCAACCTGCGCATCCTCAACATCTGGCAGGTGGCCCGAGATGGCGAGGTGAGAAGGAGATGAGTGGGAAAGCCCTGGCGGCACCCCAGACAGGTCTCTCCCACCCATGGAAGACTTCAGCCCAGCTGGACAGGGACACACAGGCACCTGCCCCCCTGCCCCTCCAGCCTGGCACTGGGGTTGGCCTGGGGGGGTTGGCTGGCAATTCCCCACCCCAGAGCACCCACGTCTTCCTCCGCGGGTGGCCCTTACCTCTGCATCTCTCCAGGACGAGCGCTTCAAAGCCCATGACATCGTGGAGCACCGGCGCCTGCTGTGGCATGGCACCAACGTGGCGGTGATCGCGGCCATCCTGAAGAGCGGGCTGCGCATCATGCCCCACTCCGGCGGGCGCGTGGGCAAGGGCATCTACTTTGCCTCTGAGAACAGCAAGTCGGCTTGCTACGGTGAGAATCCTGGGACGGGCAGGGTCTATGTGAGCTCAGCTACCTTCGCATATCTCCTGCCAGGCGGCTGTGGGCACCCCAAGCCCCTTTCCTGCCACGGCATCTGGCCCCTGTGTGTCGTAGTGGCCTGGGCACAAGCAGATGGGAATACCAGGGCTGGTGCCGTCACTCCCATCCTCTTCTCACACGGCAGTGGGCTGCACCTCTGAGAAGGTTGGCGTCATGTTCCTGACGGAGGTGGCCCTGGGCAAGCCCTACCGCATCACCCGTGATGACCCCACGCTGTGTCAGCCACCCGCCGGCTATGACAGTGTCCTGGCCTGTGGCCGGACAGAGCCGGGTGAGCCTGGGGCAGGACGGGCTAGGTGGGCATGGGGTGGGGGGAAGAGAGGCCAGATCTTGGGCTTGATGTGGCGGTGCTTGCTCAGACCCCGCACAGGATGCGGAGGTGCTGCTGGATGGCAAGAAGGTGCTGGTGTGCCAGGGCAAGCCCATCCCCATGCCCGCCTACAAAGACTCCTCCTTCAGCCAGAGTGAGTACCTCGTCTACCAGGAAAGCCAGTGCCGGATCCGCTACCTTGTCCAGCTCCACTTCTGAGGGTGCCCGAGCACCCTACAGCTCCGTCCCAGTGCCAGCTGGTGATGCTCACTAGCCCAGAGCACAGTGGTTCAGACTCGCTGGTCACCCCACCTGGCTCTTGGCAAGGGGCAGGCTGGCACAGGGACAGAGCTTGCTTTGACCATGAATAAAAACCTGGTGCCCTGTACCGAGTGATGCCAGCACTCTCCTGCCTGCTGACGCGGGTGCGGAGCAGGGAAGGGGGCGGGGGGTCCCTGCAGGGATGGCAGAGAGTGGCTCTGAAGGGGCTGCAGCCTGCTGTGGCCATCTGGTGCTGGTAACCTGTCACGGTTTAGGGTTGAGGCCGCCCCCAGACCTGTAACAGATGCTTTCTGTTAGCCTCTCTCCCCCAAAAGAGGAACAGAAAGGGAATAAGGCAGAGAGACATACCATTTAGAAAAGGAAAGTAAAACAGCTTTAGTGAAAATACTACTACTACTACTACTAATAATAATAATAATATGGAATATGTATGAATATAAACAAAACCAGTATCAAACCAAACTCCCCCCGATGGCAATATGTCACTGTCACCCCCGGCAGGGCTGCAAGCCCCGCGGAAAAGTAACTGGGTACAGGAGCTGGATTCTGGGACTGGATTCAGGAACACAGGGCTCGGGATCAAAGGCAGGATGGATGGAGTCCTCCTTGGGTGCTGGCTGTTGAAGGAGCAGACAAAAAGAAGGGGCTTGACCCTTGTGATCCCTCAGCTCTATACTGAATATGACAGATATGGGATGGAATACCCCACTGGGCAACTTAGGGTCACTTGTCCTATCCACTCCTCCCTCCAGGTAGGGCTTTACTTTCTGTCCCCCTCCGTGTGGTACACAAGATTTAGCAGCGACCTTGGTCTGCACACTAGTCCTTCGTGGCAACTCTGAACACGGAGTGTTATCACTGCTAGAAACAGACTGTCTGTGAAAATCTGCTGTTAAGGTCAGCAAGTACAGTTAGTTAGGAGAGCTTTAGCTGAAGAGTAAAATCACTGAACAGAATTCGTCCTGTACTACACCAAACCACTACACACCCTTCAGGTGAAAGCTGGTGGCTTTGTAAGCCAGGTGACCTTGTCACCTTAGCAAGACACATGGCTCATGCCCACCCACCACAGCAGCAGAGCTACAGATGATGAACAAGTTGTACTGCCCTGCATGGGCATGGAAGAGCTCATTTGTTCGTCCGTCCATCCATCCATCCATCCATCCATCCATCCATCCATCCATCCGGAGAGCAAGCACCTGCCCTCCCTCTGGTGCCATGGTAGGTGCCATGCCCCAGACTGGCACCTGTGCCAAGCCCCTCTTCCCATTAGCATGTGCCCTCGAGCACTTGTGCAGGTCCCTGGGGTGCCAGGGAAGGACAGCTCCCGGCTGTGTTACCCCAATGCCCCTCAGATGGGGGGAGGAGATGCCGCAGACCTGCCCGTGAGTGCGTGCCCCATGCCGTGGGGACCTCAGGGCTGAGCTGTGCCAGAGGAAGGAGTGGGCCTGCTGTGGCAGATGGCCGGGTGGGCACAGGGCTCAGGGACCCTACTCCCCCTTCTCAACCCCCCGCCGGCTGCTAGGACCCAGCAGCTGTCCCTGTGGGAACTCCACGAGTGCCAGCGCTGCCGGGAGTGACAGCTGGTGCCATCCACAGCCGGGCTGCGGGCAAACAGGATGATGGGCGGGTGACGGGCACGGGGAGCGCAGCCTGGTGCGGCGAGAGGGACCCTCGGCCAGGAGGAGAGCAACACCCACCCCCCAGGAGCGAAGGTGCGTCGGCTTCCCACCGCCCACCCCAGGGTCCCCCGTGGCCAGACCGAGGAGCAGGGCTGGAGTGGATGGGTTTGTGCTGTCCCTTCTCGGGGCTCGCTGGCGTGGTCGGGGCAGGGGAACCTGGGCTCACCCTGGCACGAGTGCCCGTGGGTCCCGGCAGGGCCATCCCTGGCCAGGTTTGGGACAGCCCAGATGCCAGCTGTACGGTAGGCAAGGTGCTGCGACCTCACCGGGCACCTCTCTCTGCTCCAGCATCTCAGAGGGGTTCAGGTCTTCTTTGGGTTTCTCTATGAATCTTCTTCATTTTGGTTCTTCTCCTCCATGTCCTGCTCGCCTCCTCAACAGGCAAGGAGAAGACAGCGGCCATGGTTGCGGTGGGCTTTCCCTCTAAGGGATGCAGGAGAAGAGCCCTTGCTGCCCAGGCACCAGAGCTGCTGGCTTAGCCCCCCCGGGGGGATGGCAAGCCGAACAGGGCTGAACACCACGGACAGCCTAGAGCCACTCTCGGTCCCCGAGCTGTCTGTTGCCCAGGAGGTGGTGGGCCTCTTCTGCATGGTCCTGCTCACCTTCATCGCCCTGGTGGCCAACATTGTGGTGATGGTCGTCATCCTCAAAACCCCTCTTCTCAGGAAGTTCATCTTTGTCTGCCACCTCTGCGTGGTCGACCTCCTCTCTGCCATTTTCCTCATGCCTCTGGGAATCATCTCCAGCTCCTCCTGCTTCAACAGGGTGATCTACAGCATTCCCGAGTGCCAGGCCTTGATATTCCTGAACATCTGCTTCATCAGTGCCTCGATCCTCACCATCTCCATCATCAGCGTGGAGCGGTACTACTACATTGTCCACCCCATGAGGTATGAGGTCAAGATGACCATCAGGCTGGCAGTGGCCGGCGTGATTTTCATTTGGGTCAAGTCTGTTCTCATCACTGTCTTGGCACTAGTGGGCTGGCCTCAAGGCAACGGGGCCACCAGCGCCAGCCGCTGCACCGTCTACTGGAGCCCTGGGGCCCACAAGGAGGTTTTTGTGATCATCTTCAGCATCGTCTGCTTTGTTCTGCCCACCATCGTCATCTTTGCTGTCTACTGCAGAGTCTACCGTGTGGCGCGGATGGCATCCCTGCAGCACGTGCCACCGGCACAGGCCGTGGCGCCGAGACACCAATCCAACTCCATCGCCAGCCAAGTGACCACCGTCACCTCCAGGAACCTGCCGCTGCCCAGACTGATACTGGAGCGGTTTCTGGGAAGCAACAAGGCCATCCTCACTTTGGTCCTCATAGTGGGACAATTCTTGTGCTGCTGGCTGCCCTTCTTTGCCTTTCACTTGCACTCCTCTGTCGCCGCTGGCATGGTGAGCGGTGGGCACGGGGAGATGACGGTCACTTGGATTGCCTACTCCTCCTTTGCCATCAATCCCTTCTTCTATGGGCTCTTGAACCGCCAGATCCGGGAGGAGCTGGCCCGGCTCCGGCGCAGCTGTCTCAACCGTCCGCTCGGCCAGGAGATCTGTCTTTCCGTCTTGGAGGCTTCTGTCCAGGGAAACTTCTTGCAGTTCCTCCAGAGAGCAACTTGCACGCTGGAGACCCATGCCAGCTGCATTAGCCCCAGCCCCAGGAACAGGCTGGACCAGACCAAAGTGGGCTTCCCCATCCCAGGTCAAGTTCCTGAGGAGGGCAGCTGAGAAGCAGGTGGCCCTGTCCCACTGTGCCAAGCAGAAGGGTGAGTAGGGCACCTGCTAGGGACCCACTGGACCTGCTTGGAGCCAGACTTTTGGATTTGGAAGGGTCCTTGTTCAGGTTTTGCCTCTTCACTGAGCTCATGGCAGTTTCTCTGCCTGGTAGATGGCAGCAGATGTGGGGAAGCTTCATCTCCTTTCTGCAGTCTGGGCTTGTCTCTGGCTCCACCAGCACAGCCTAGTTGCATGGATGGGCTCTCCCTGGGACACAGGATGCCAAGTGGCTCCTCCATGGGGGCATCTCCATCTCTGTCACCCTGCTGGGACCACTCATGGCCACTGGGGAAGAGTGGGTGTCCCTTGCACCCTACCCAGGAGCAATAGCCCAGCTAACACTACTAACACCAGTAACACCCGGACCCCAGGGCACCCTGCTGAGCCTGGATCGCCAAGTGCGAAGCCCTCCACCCTTGGCTGTTTAACCCCAACCTGACATCTGTGGGGAGGAGCTCCCCTCACCCGCGGTACTTACTGGGGGGAACAGGCCCTGCGGGGCTGGCTCTGGCCACGTCTGTCTGTCCTGCTGGCATGGCCATGCCTGGCCGTGCCCTCTGCCCACCCAGCTGGCAGGGTCTGTCCCTCCAGGGGGATTGCTGCCTGCCCGGGGGTCTGTGCTGCACTGTTTATGGACACAGCTGGCCAGCTGAAGCCCAGCCAGCAGTGCCACATGCCAGCTGAACTGGGCTGCCGGCCAGGGGTGCTCTGGGGTGGATGTGGTGGCACAGGGTGGGGGGGTGCATGTGGAGCTTCCCTGGGCAGTGGCAGCCGGAGGGGACCGGGAGCTGCAGTTCCCCTTTGTTCTTGTTGCTTCTGTAGGGCCTGGGGACTCTCCCAGGGAGTCTCAAGTGCAAGAAGGGAGACCGGACCCTGTTGGGGAGTCCCCAACAGCCATCCCATCCACAAAGATCCCAGGGATAGAGATGCTCCTGCCCCAGTAAAATGGGGGAGGTACTGGGAGAGAACTGACTTTGGCCTCTCAAACTGTCCCATGGAAAGGGAAGGGGCTCTGGGAAGACCCCCAGAGAGATTGGGGCTGAGGGCCAGCACCCCTGACCACAGGGATGCCCCTCCAGCCACCACCCTGTATCCCTAGAGGCTGGGGCGGCCATTGGTGTGTGTGTGTGTATGTGTGTACGTGTGTGTGTCTCTACCCAGGGTGGGGGGGTATAGATTTTTATTTTCTTGTAAATTTTATCTTTTTATTAAACCATTGATAAGTTACAAAGGAGGAAAAAATATACTTATATATACAGCACTTCCAAGCCAGCAGGGACCGGCTCTTGGATGGGGTTGCTGGGGGGTGACTGCCCCAGGGAGGGTCCCTCACCAGTGCGAGGGGAAGGAGGACCCCCAGAGAAGCCAGACAGCCCCTCATCCGGCAGGACCCCGCTTTTGCATGGGCAGGAGTGGGACAGCAGGGGGAGCAGGGAGACGGGCAGGATCTGGGGGTCCCACAGCGGCACAGGGCACTGGGAGGAAGGACCCATGGCTGTCAGGGACAGCCCCCCCACCCAGGACAAGGGCCCGTGGTCCCCGTGCAGGAAAATCGGGGAGAGGGGCACAGCTCTGCCAGGATGGGCAGCAGGCAGCCCTTTCCTCCAGCAGGCATCACTGCTGGGAAGACCCTTCCCTCCCCTGGGGTGGGGGCAAGGGGCTGCACCGTGGGCACGGGGTGCCCGGCAGGCGCTG